CTCTTTTGCTTTGAAGGACATCAGTGTAATGAGGCTTAATGTGTTCCCCCTGTGAGGGGAGGGTTTGGTTTACAGGCTGTAAAACGAAGGCTCTTTGAGGTGTGCTTTTAATCCAGCATCACTCTACTCCAGGGAGAGAATTCTGACATGGTTTTACCACCACGCTTCTTGCTAGTTAGCATGTTATTTTCTGCAGCTCAGAGAGTGAAATCTGAAGGTGGCAGACAGAGAGGTTGAAGCATATGGTATCCAAATAAAATACTATTTACGTGGAGTGTGAAACAGATAGGACAGACAGCTGTCCTGGGATTCTAGCACTTCCCTGGGCTGGAAATTCTGTAAAAACCTTCCCTTTTGGAGGAATATAAAATACAAGCTGATGACACGGGAATTTCTTTGTGTATTTTTATATACAATTTATACACGTGAATGACTTGTTGAATATAAAAATATGGATTGGTAGGGTGTTCTCATGTCTTAACCCAGTATTGGCCAGGCAGTGCTGGTACACTGCACTGGTCCAAAAAAGGTACATTGGTGGAAGGGAAACACTTGAATTGAAAGATTTTTTTACTCCTTGAAAACTTTAGTCAGTTTATAATGGCACATTAAGCTCTGTCCATACTTATGTTTCTGGTAATTCTTAATGAAACTTGACAAGTTCTCCACTCCAGTGCTGTGGAATGGATTAAAAAGGAACCCACTGGTTCTTTCCTTACTGAGCTCTGCCAGGTTATTCTTGCTGCAGGTGCTGCTGGTTTGGGCTTCTGCAACCTCTGCTTCAGCCTCTGACATTTCTTAGCTGATAAATAAAGAATTAATGGTTAGATTGAGTGGGGTCAGTGAGGGGAGTCCCACACAGATGCCCCCACCTGGCCCTGAGCTGAGCCCTGGTGCTGCTGTGCAGACAACAAGTGTTTATTAATGTGCTGGGAAATGATTCCAGGGGCCCCCAGGGAGCACCAGAGAGGGGCTGAGTGGCTGCTGGTGCAGATAATCCTGGAATTATGGAAGTGTGAAACGCCTGTGATAAGATCTTGGTGCCTTCTCTGGGAGATAAAAGCAGCCACTGTAGCAGTGAGCCTGTGCAGCCTCTCCAGCACCCACTGTTACCGTCACAGGGAGAGGCAACGGGAGAACTCACATCCCACTTGTGGGCATTTACAAATGGCACACTCTTGGATCCTTTTCTTCTAACATTTTCTGTCTGCTTATTCAAGAGCTCTTTCTCTCTGATCTCAGTTGCCTTCTGTCTCTCAACTTTGTTAACTGTGTTTCACTCGGGATCTTATCACGAGAAATGATTCTTTTGCTTTACGTTTCAGCTGCTTTCTTTATGCTATAAATTAACTGTACTGTGAGAATCTAAAACACTTGCAGGTTTCTCTGTGTGGAAGATGCCACTCAAAACAACTGTATTTCCAGCCTGGTTCATCTGCCCTTTCTTAGGGTGATGCTGAAGTTTGATTCCAGGCCAGGTTGGACAGGGCTTGGAGCAACCTGGGGTAGTGGAAGATGTCTCTCCCTGGCAGGGAGTGGGACTGGATGGGCTTTAAGGCCCCTTCCAACCCAACCACCCTGGAATTCTGGGATTTACTGGCTGCTCAGGGGACCTTTCCCTTCCAGCAGCACAGGAGCCCAGCTCTGGTTGTTGGCTCCTCTCTGCACACACCAGTTCACATGGCACAGTTTGGCTTTTTCCAAAATAACTGATTTTGCTTCATCTCGTTGGTTTAACCCATTGCAAAACAGTCTGATCTCTGAGGCATCATAATTAACTGGAATCTCCAAAGTCTTCGATCAAGATCTCAATCTATTTTAATTTGCAAGAATATTTTTGATGCCAAATTCTTTTTTGTCCCCTTTTTGATTAAATATACCTGTTTTCCTTTCTTTTTTGCTGCTCTGCTGGTGGACAAAGATTAAGCCTCCAGTCTCCATCCTGACATTTAACCTTTACTTATCTCCTGCTAATTTTATCAGCTTTAACAAAATTGTCTTATTTTCCCCCATGCTGATAGACAGTGGAGGTCCTTCAAATTATTCAGAAAAGGGGGAGTGGATAGAAAAAACTGATGCCCTTCAATTAACTTTCTTTTAAATGTTACATTGAAATGATTCATGTGGAAATTGGTCAGTGGTAAATGTATTTCTACATCATCAAACAAAGCAACTTAAACAGATAAAATAGAACTGAGATTTGAGGTTGGTCCCAAGGATGTTTTAATGAAAATATGTGTTGTATTCCCTGGTTTATTTTCTGTATGTGTAAACACAGTGAGTATTATAAAATACATTTACAACTCCTGTTATAAATATGCATTATTAAAAGATAGAAATGTTGGTGTTGGACCCAGCAGAGGAATGGTAAATGAGTGAGTGTTTTGTGTAAAATCAGAGAGGATGGAAGAGCAACCAAGAGCTAAAAAGTGGAAAGGATGCATTTTATCAGTGGAATTGGTTGCTGTGTTGAGATGGGAGGAGATCAGCAGGGAATTCAGAGCTTTGTCCACAGGGCTGGTATGCAGGATCCGGGGTAATATTGTGCACCATTAACTTGAGCAAAGAAACAACTTCTGTAAAAACCTTGAGTTTTGTTAATTAACTGCTCTGCACCCCAGGAATGGTGAGTCATTAGCTGCTCACATTCCCCCAAGGAGCTATCTGTAGTCCCTGGGGATGCTGGGCATCAAGGGCTGTTTGTTTGCCAGGGTTAGATTCACCCCCTTGTTTCAAGGAAAAGTAAAAAGATGAAAAAAATCCTGAAGGAGCTCTGAAGTCAAAGACAAAAATGAAGCCGTTGTGTCGTCTGGGGTATCCCTGTCCTAATGAGTGGGATTAAATCTCCACAGCCCCTTCTCTGGCCTTTCATTTTAATGATGGCCAGATGTTCCCAGCGTTAAAGCTTCATTACAACCAGCAGAGTGCAAACCCTGCCATGTGAACTGCTGGGAATGCTGGACCTGGGCGTGATGATTGACTTTCTGCCGTTCCTGGGTTTGCTCATGGGCAAGGCAGAAAACCTGAGAGCACAAACTATGGCAGTGGTAAACATTTCACTGCTTAGTTTCACACTCCACTGAGCTCAGGCTGCTTGTTTTCATCTGCCTTTTCTTTTATTCTGTGTTTGCTGGGTATTGGGAGTGACTTTGGTATCGACTGCAGCAGATCAGCTGAAATTCTTACTTTAAATTCCAACTAAAAGTCTAGGATGAGTCCAGTGTTTTAATGGGATTCTTGTCAATTATACTGAATTATTTGTAGGAGGGTTCAGACTAAAATAATTCCCTGTGGGAATTTCTAGTGTTTTCAGCAGATTTCCAATCAGTTGTTTCCTTAAGGCTCAGATCCAGTGGACAAACCAAAGGCTGCTGCTCCTTCGTTAGGAGGCCCCGTGGTTAATGAAGGTGGTTTTGCTAAGGCCCAAACTCCAGAAGCCAGCGAGTGAACACTGAGTTCTGTGCCTTCTTTTTCCTGTAGGCCTTTAATCACTAAAAGTCAAGTGCTTTGAGCATAATTCTCCCTTGATCTCACTTGATCTGCAAGCAGATGTCTCCAAGTCCTGATCCTGCAAGGTCATGAGCTAAAGAGGAGTCATAAATCTATTGTAAAAATCCCTGAATTGTGCCACATCTTCCAGAGGTGTCCCTGGCACTGAGAGCTGGATCAGCACTCACTGGTGTCACACCCACTCCCAGCTCTTACTGGGAATCATAGAATGGAATCCCAGGATCACTGAGGTTGGAAAAGCCCTCCCAGCCCATGGATCCCACCTTGTCCCCCAGCCCAGAGCACTCAGTGCCACGGCCAGGCCTTCCTGGGACACCTCCAGGGCTGGGGACTCCAAACCTCCCTTGTTCCCTGGGAGCAGAGCCCGACCCCCCCTGGCTCCCCCCTCCTGTCAGGGGGTTGCAGAGCCAGAAGGTCCCCCCTGAGCCTCCTTTTCTCCAGGCTGAGCCCCCCCAGCTCCCTCAGCTGCTCCTCACAGGACTGACAAGTGTTATTTCCAAGCCTGTTCCACGTGTGTTCCCGAGCTCACACATTCCTTGGCTGCAGGAACAATGCTGTGACAGGATCAGGACGTGCAAATGGAGCGATGAAAGCAAACATGAGGGAAGTGACAGCACTGTGGGGCAAGGTCGTGTCTCTGGGGGTGAGACAGTGGGGAAGGATCTGAAATACTGAGGAATTTGGAGGCTGAAGGAGAGGGGAATTATCAGCCTTTGCCAATGGGCAGATGGGAGCAGGGGGACAGAGGGGGTGTTGGATGTATCTGTAACCTGGAGATGCTTTATTCTGGATTCCAGCAGAGTCACAAAACCAGCCGTCCCAGCATCTCTCCAAACCAAAGCACAGGTTTTATACAGGGCTAGAGCATTAAACATTTGAGAAAAGGGTGGCCTGGTATCTGCCAGGGTTCCTGCTCAGCCTGGCTGAAGGATCATTCCTGGCCATAGCATTATACCTCCCTTTCAGTGATTTTCAGGAAAGGGTGGGCTTGATTTATCCCACCCTGGGCTTTTCTGAACTCTTCTTACTCTTTGTGCAACTTCTATAAATTCCTAATCGTATTTGCTTTAGCACAGGAATGTCAGTGAACTAATTATTCAAAAGAATGTGTTTAGGAATAGTTGTTGGTATTTTTTTTCCCACAAAATACAACCTGCAAGAAATATCATGTCTCAGTGTGGCTCCACAGAACGGATGAATAGCCAGAATTTGTTATTAATTTGAATGTTAAATGTTGCAGGAATCTGACACAGCAGTGAAGCTGTGCATTGTGATAATCAAAAATGGGAGGGGGGTGTATTGTGACTTCTAGAAATTTTACTAAAAATATATCTAGGCTATATCTTTGAAATAAATAAGTGAAATATTAAATGCTCGAGCATTTGGGGTTTATTTTCCCGTGTCCCACACTGTGAGCTCTAAAACCTGTGTTGTGGCAGCTGTTTCTGTAGGTTGTGAGCTGTAAAACCTTTGTTTTCCTTCCACAACAGGTGAGATGTGGGAAGATTTCCCTCTTCTTCAGGTCAAGGAAAAGCACCAAGCTCCAAACTGTGATCCTTCATCCCGTGGTGGATCGAGGCCTTTCAGGAATGGTATGTAATAGTGTGTATTTATGAATATATTTATTAAGCCCCCAGTTCCAAAGGGCTGTTTGTCTCCTGGGACAGGTCTGGATGACTTCTGAGAGATTACTCCTGGCTTTAAAACATCTGGAAAAATTGAGGCCAACATATGATGGGATTTGCACAATTTTTCCTGCTTGGATTATTGCTTCTCTAAGGAAATAATATCTGTAAATCCTTTTGTTTCATGAAGAGCAATGTACAGGATAACTGGTGCAGATGGGGAAGGTGAAATATTGAAATCCTGATAGGTTTTCCTGTTATATTTATCTTTTTTTTAAAAAAGAATTTACAAAAAATCCCATTTTTGAAAGATTATTCATCACTCCTTCTAAAACCAGGCTTGAAAAGGAGATAATCCTGTTCTAGTCCCAAGACAATAATACAGTGGACCTTAAAATACAGAGTGTGTGGGTTGTCCTGCTCCCTTAAACACTTGGATCATCTCTGTAGGAGTCATACAGGCTCTGGAATCCTGGCCCATAAACCAGCATCTCTTGGCCAAAATCTTGCTACTCTGTTATGAAGTTTGTGTTAATTTTTTTTTTAATTTTATTTTGGTGGTTTTGGTTGTTTTTTTTTTTTGTTTTTGTTTTTGTTTTTTTTTTTGTTTGGTTTTGTTTTTTTGTTTTTGTTTTTGTTTTTTTTAATTTATTTTATTTTATTTTTATTTTTATTATTTATTTTCACTTACCTTAAAGCTACAAAGACTCATTAAATGCACGATAACCTTTAGAGGCAGCAAGGGAGTCTATCAGGATACAAAAGCTCTACAGTTGGAGGCTAAATTTTCCAAATGATTACAATCCATGCCAGTCACTTTTATTCCCAATTACTGCCAAAAAAAAAATCTATTTATGGGGTGGTTGCTCCCAGTCAAGAGAAGAGATGAAACGTCAGGGAATGTAAAGAGTGGAGGAGGACAGTGAGACACTGATAATTAGTGCCTGGAGGGAGAGAATTCCCTGGGCCTGCTGCTCCTCCAGTCAACTGCAGTTCCACAAATCCAACAACTGCGTGTTCCCTGCACTCAGAGCAGCTCCAAAGCAGCAGCTAATGGCATTTGGCTGTGCTGTTTTCAAAGCAGGCTCGTACAAAGGTTGTCCCACTGAAGGTCAGGCTGTGACTGCGATCCATGTCTTGTGGAAGTGCCTGGAGAGGTTTGGTGTCTCAGTGCTCAGCTGGTCTTTGTGAGCTTTGAGGTCAGAACTGTGCAAAGGAGAATCTGACAGTGGGTTCCTACAGAGAAAAGCACGTGAAATTAGGAAATTAAATATACACCAGAAGCAGCCTTGACTTGGTGGTGCTGAGCACAGTGGATATTTTATATTCCACAGTGTATGTTTTATATTCCTCATGAGCTGCAATAGACTGAGCCGTATTTAGCTGGAGACAGATGAACAAATGATCCTGGTGAAGGTGCCTCTGTGTTTGTGCCCTTCTGTGGCTCATCCCAGCAGCAGTAAGTGCCTGGCTCTTACCTGCTTATTTACAGCAATTAGGGAAGGTCGGTGCAGTTTTCTTCTCCTGGTTGTGTTTGAAGCTCGTTAGTAATTTGAGCGGTTTGAAGTCTGGAGACAGTTTCGCAGAGCTCAGTTTGCAGGATTCCACCTTATCCATTCTTGTTGTCCTGAAAGCATTTTTCTCCTATCAACCCCCGCTCCCAAGATTAAAGAAAAATACATATTTGAGCTAAGTAAGTACTATTTCCCATTTATATTCAATAGAAAGTTTCATTTAGATATCCAGAAGTGATTGAGGGGAGATTGAAGGTGTGACTGCAGAGAGCAGCAGGGTTTTACTGTGCTGTCCCAAGAGCAGCTCAGGGAGGGAGCTGCAAATTGCACCCTGGTTTTTCTTTCTCTGCACTCAGAAAAGAATCCCAAGCCCCCCCCAGCCATGGAAAATCACGTCCAGAAGGAATTGTTTCCATATCTCTGTGTTCAGTGCATTACACTGAGCCCTTATGCGTTCCCCTGCCGACTGGGGAGTGCTGTGGGGTCCCACCCTCCACGGGAACACCAGTGGGGAGCAAAGGAACCTTCATCCTCCCATCTGTCCTGCCCACACAGATCCAGGGGGGCACTCTGTAGCCCATGGAAAAGATGGAGGAATTCTTGTCAGCCCTTGGCAGTGGCAGCAGAGCTGGGACCCCCTGGGCTCCCAAATCCAGGGCTGGGTGCTGGATGCACCTGGAAGATTCTTTGCCCCTTCTTTTCTGTTTGAAAGCTTAGAAACACTAAAAGAGGTTGAATATGTGTTTTTTCTCCTGGGAACAGTGGGCTGAGTGGCCTTGGCTGTTGCTGTGTTCTCACTGAAGGTGCTGTCCCTGAGCCTTGGGCTCAGATCCCGGTGTGACTTCCATCAGCTCCAGTTATCCCTGCAATGTCCCAGGCCAGGTTGGACAGGGCTTGGAGCAACCTGGGCTAGTGGAAGGTGTCCCTGCCCATGGCAGCAGGTGGGGCTGGATGGGCTTTAAGGTCCCTTCCAGCCCAAACCATTCCATGATTTCTTGCAGGATCGTGGCTGTGGCACTGAGGGTCCCTGCAGGACCCGCGTGGTGGGAGCAGAGGCAGCCCCACCTTGCAGGGCCCTGCTCTCCCATCCTGGGTTGTTTGTGTCTGTTTGTACCTGCTTTCCTCATGGCACAGAGGAAAGCTTTTATCTCCCATTCCACAGAGCAGGAATGACAACCTGCTGTCAGCTGGGCTGGCCCAGTGCCACGGGAAACGGGATAGAGGGTAAAAATCCTCCCTGAGCTCCTACAGCAAGGGCTGTTTGCTTTCCTCCCCAGCTTTCCTCCTACTGAGTGGAGACACACAGCAACTGCTTTTGCTAATTAGTGCTCCCAGCCTTTATACTTTTTATCTGATTTATAGAGAAAATCAAGGTGGTTCACCATGAAAAAGCAGCGAGTGTTTTGTTGAGCTGTTCCTGACAGTGTCACTGCTCGGGTGCAGTGATGGCTCTAATGACAGCCAATACTTGTTACTGAGGCTCTGCCCAGGAGGGGATGCCAGGGGGTGGATAATTGGATGTATTGGAACCACTTAGGAACTTTTATATTGTTTTATGTTGAAAAGGTAATGACTGTTTCTGTCTTGAAGTGACCTATAACCTGTAGAAAGGCAAGATGCCAAAGCACACGGATTTTGGGTCCTGTCCTCCTCCTGTGGGAGCTGACAGACGTTTGTCAGAGGTTCCCATATCAATCTGGGATACATTTAAATGTGCTCCTGGTTGCATGCTAATTTTGGGTGTTCATGCCTGTGACAGCCTGGAGTGCAGGCAGAATGAAAGCTGATATCTGAGTGGGAGCATTGCACATCATCAGAAATGGGATTGAAAACATAAAGATTTAAGAGGTTGGGATGTGGAGCAGTTCAAGAGAGTGGGAGCCTTGGTCACTGCAAGACCCACCCTCTGTGGGCACATGGAGCTGGGATCCAGGACAGTGTGGGATATCCTGGCTGTCACTGGACTGCACTGAACATTCAGTCACCTCCTTTCTCCCAGCTGTGTTCATGTGAGACTGAGAGTCCCGGCATGGTTTGGGCTGGAAGGGACCTTAAAGCCCATCCAGTCCCACGCCCTGCCAGGGGCAGGGACACCTTCCACTGGGCCAGGTTGCTTGTTCTCCTCCTGTCTGGTTGCAGTTACTGAATTAGGAGTTATTTGTCATCTGATACATGTTTAATTCACTTTCTTGTAGCATTAATAATTGTAGCAGCCAAAGGCAGGATGATTTTTCCCTTGTCAATGAGAAGAGAATGTAAAGAGGTGCCACAGAAGGGGATGCTGTGGGAATGAGAGTGGAGGAGATCTGAGTGGATCTGCTCCAACACATTGGATACAGTCCTTTGCTTTGCTTTGGCTGCAGATCTGGGGACAACTGGAGGGTGGAAGTGGAACCTTTTAGTGGAAGGTGGAAGTGGAACCTTCTAGTGGAAGGTGTCCCTGCCCGTGGCAGGGGTGGGACTGGGTGATCTTTAAGGTCCCTTCCAGCCCAAACCCTTCTGGGATTCCGTGTTCTCTGAAATGCCATTCCAGGCAGTGCTGGCTGTGCTGGCACTAACCCAGCCTCGAGGGAATGTTTTTTCTGCATCTCCAAAATGACATTTCCTTGGAAATGGCAGGGGCTGATCCATGCCGGATGTGGCTGTGACAGCCACCAGCTCCACACGTCACAGCTCTGGCTCCTTAGGCACGGGGTGCCCTTGGATCAGGGCTGGGATTTTGGGGGCCAGGCAGGCTGAGTGTTTGGCTGACTTCCATAAACCCAAGAAATCCAGCAGATTGCAAATCTGTCGAGGAAATTCTCCTTGGAGATCCGTCACAGCCACGGTGTCCTGTGTCATACCTGAACAACCCTGCAGGCAGAGCGTGTCTATAAAGCCCAATTTAGGCTGTTCCCAGCACTGTGCAGCTCTGCCAAGCCCTGTCTGTAAGCGTGAGATTCCCAATACTGGTCCCAGCAGGAATTTTTGTACGTTTTTTATTAATCTCCAGGGTTTTTTTACTTATCCGTGTATGGACATATACATATTTTCTATTTATGTGTAGTTAAATGTCTTGTAAGTGGTTTAAGGGAACTCTCTGGCATATTCCAGCCAAGAGTTTACTGGTTCTTTGTCCCCAGGAAATGTTAATTGTGATGGGATTTCCAGTTAAGTGGGATCCTGTCTGTGTGTCCCCCTTCCAGCATTGGCTCCTTTTTATTCCCTATTTTCTTGTGTAATTGCAATGGATTTTTTTTTCCCCAAAAAGTCATTTTGTACCTGGGGCACTGAAGCTTGATGATATTTATACATTCCAGCTCTTTTTTAAAATGCCAACTCAATATATAATGTGTAGTTCTTTTTCTGATTTTGAGATGTTACATAATAGAAAGTCTGACAAAAATATTGAGCAGGAAGATTGCAGCAATATATTTGTGAGTTCTGGAGTGTTTGATGATGTATGTTCTATGT